GCATCGCTACAGCATATCTATCGTTTTCAGTGATAGCAATTTAACGATTAAAGCGGTCGGTCGTGAGCTCGTGAGGCACCGAAAATGTATTATTGTGTCTACCGTCTTTTTTCCACAAACGCAAACACACTGTGTCGACTATTTTTCGCTAGGGGGATTTCACTCTATGCGAATACTGCTATTCGTACGAATGCGCGAATACTTTGCCATGCATTTGAATATAAACACTCGCAAATACTGATATTCGTGCCGAATATTCGCATTCGTACGAATAACCATTTAATGTATCTATACGGCGCATTAGCAAATACGTCCGAATATTGCTGCGCGAATGCGAATGCACTTGACAGATCTATATTGATTTGTTGTGTTAATCGTTGCGACTACATTGTTTACATTAGTTCACCAAAATGGTAAATAGTTATTTCGATACAAATTTAATATCAATTTAAGTTGTGTTTTGTATTTTAGGGACTGGAAAATGTTATTTTCAAATTAGAAAAATATTTGAATGTAAAAATTTCGGCCGATATTATTAAAATCCTGGAATTCTGTGCATTTGAAAATGAATCATCTCTAATGTCCATTGACAACGATGCTATTATGGATATCGAGAACTATGTCATTGAAAACCCAGAAATTCTCAAAGAAACATCATACGAGAATGTGAATCATTTTAAATTTAAACCGGGTCACCGATTGCTTATCATCCAGTTGCCACAGTTAATCAAGAATTGTAATCAAACGGAAACAAATTTGCAAAAAATCGGACACCTGCGACCGCAAATGCTTGTATTCAACGTAGCTAATGCGCTTTCTGTATTAAATCCAGAATGTGTGAGAATTAATTGTAAAATTTCTGGTAGAGATTCACCTAATGCACGTTGTAATTTTTCAAACACGTCTGACATCTTTCCACATGTTTGACTGTGTTTGACACTTCATCGCAACTGAGCGCATTCGCGACGAATACATGTGCGAGTGTTTCAATACGTTTCATATGCGGAGTCGCGCGAATGCTCGCGCGGCAGTACGAATACATGGTGCGAATGCAAATACTTATACTGTTTTTTGCGAATGCAGGATTCGTACACGAATGATCATGTATTCGAATGCGAGTGAAATGCCCCTAGATTTTTCGTCGCTGTTAATGTCCGTTGCTGATGCTGATGCTTTGTCGCTTGTGTCGTCAGATAAGAAGCGATAAAGTAAATTTATACGTACTCACCAGATGGGGATCTGTTTTTTTTCTACTTGCTTCCACTCTCAACTATACATATGGGAACTGGGGAGAACTTGTGTGTGTGTCTTTGTTTGCATTTGTTACTCGAAAACCTATTTCACTTTTTATGGCCATCCTTACATTCGCGTATTTGCACACGTCTAACGGCTTTTGTTTATATTCCAACACTTCCTATTAAATCAATGGCACCTCTCCGACAGAGAAACGAACGAACGGAATAAAAAAACTTTACAGCAAATTATTTTTCGTCGAGAGTCTTTTTGTGCCGTTGCATACAATTGCCACTAAACGAATACAGCATCCGGTATATGGTGTGCGTGGTAGTGGTGCTGGCATATTGTATATATTTCATTAAGGGTCACCGAATAAATTTTCCATGCATCGATATGTATAGTGCGAGAGAGAGAGAGAGAGAGAGAGAGAGAGAGAGAGAGAGAGA